GCCGCGAAATGGAGACACACGAACCCATTCAGCGCCAAAAGAAGTACTCGAACTTAGTCCAGAACCAGCGGTGTTGGAACCGGCGGTACCATCGGATATCAAACAAAGCAAAACCGCTCCGAAATCAGGGGAATTCCAATCGCTGGTGACACAACACGATGAAAAAACCAACTACCTGCACGGTGCCTTCCGAGCGCACACCTTCGCACAACAAATTCCTTCCTATTTGCTCGTCGTAACTGCGTGTCCGCTCCCCTGCACAATATGCAATTAAGGCGCTACCTCATTGGAGGTCCCATTGCCCCTACAAGATATTATGAGCCCCCAGGGGGGGCATGAAATGCTAGGAAAGCGCACCTCGGGGGCACACGACCCCGCAATTGCACCACCACACTGACCGACCGAGTGCCATGCGAAAGCGCCCACACTACGACTGCACCCGCACTGCCAGACCTGCCAGGAAGGGGGGGAGATAGGTGCTCGACCCTCCCTCATCCGGCACAAACAGCTCCGTATTCGAAGGCAGGAACACAAGGTCAACCGCCAACTCCATAAACTGTTGCCACCAAGGTTGGGCCGTCCAGTACGGCACGACTAGGAAAGACACCCTAGCACTGCTTGAGTGCACGTGTTTTCCACACTAATTAAGACAACACGCTGCTGAAAGAACGGAAGAAAGGACTCTAATGCAGGATGGACAGCGTGCAACTCCTTCCAACTGACGTGCTCATAGAGCTCTGGTGCCGACCAATAACCGCGCGCCACACGATCATGCAGGACCGCGCCCCACGAATGGCGCGATGCATCAACTGAAAGCTCAACTGCAGCAGGACCCTGGTGAATAGCCACGAGCATTGGTGGGTAGGGATGTCCGCCCACCACCCAAAGTCACGTAACGACCCACGGGGCAAGCACACTCGACCAGGATAACCAACCGGTTGCTTCACATCATCGTAACAATTGCGGAGAAATAAGAGAGCTGGAGTAAGGGCCAATTTGATGCTCTGTGCAAAACTACAAAACTTAGCCAGCTCGCACTTCTGCACCAGACGCTGATTTTTCTTTGCCGTGATCCGCAACCCGATCGCCAGCCACCACAATTTTGCGAGCTTTTGCTTAGTCACCTCAAACACACCAGCTGCCGTATTGACAGTAATGCCTAAGTGATACACTGACTGCGACGGCTCCCACTGGCACTTGGTGGGATGACATGACAAACCCAAAAACTCGATCATCTCACGCACCCAGCGTGCGCAAAAACGTGCTTGCTCCTCGGAAGTAAACATGATTAGGAAATCATCCAAATACGGTAGTACTCGCGCACCCGGACGTGAAGGACGCCCTGTCTGGGAAACGGGAAAAAACTGGTGGGGCGAGAGCAAGGGGCGAGGGACACTTGTGACCCTTGCCCGCCGCAGCCAAAGAATCCCGCCAAATACGCACCACATTGTGCATGTACTGCTGAAGCGACGGTGTCTCTCTGGGACCTAGCAGACACGGCCAAGAGTAATTGGCCGTTACACGTAGTCTGGAGGTCCGCGACCTGCCACCGATAGCCCCTTGCTTGGGCGTAAACATATTGAGTCTGAGGTGCTGTTTCCGACACAGCAGCGGCTTTAAGGTAGCCTGTCCTGACGGGCGGCCTGTCAGTATTCTAGCACCTTGACAGCCGCCAGTCATAACAGCCTGACGTGGGGCCTTTCGCAGGCCACGGGGCGACACGGCACACCCCCTTCACACGAACATGCCCCCTCGAGTCGCACCAGGGGCCTGACTGCAAACTGCTAGTACTGACGAGCTCGCTCGGCCACCAAGTCCGCGGTCCAGGCCGGCTGCTCAACGCTCAGCAGACACAATCGCAGCTTGCCAGCCTTCTGCCTGTTGGCTTTGCGGTCTGGTACCACAGTCCAAACACACACGGAAAACAGCACGGCACAGCACCTTATGCCCTGCCTACGGCGCCCTTCAGGCACTAGCCTGCCCATTCGGGCGCCTGCCCACGCGGCCTTGGTGCCCCCCTACCTCGACACACTTCTTTTAAGCCCTCAGCATTTTTCCACTCCCCCCTCGCATGGTGCTCTGTCGATCTAAGTGACGCCCAGCACCGTGCGGCAGTGCACGAACTTGATTTCACCCAGTGCCTTGGTGAGAATGTCAGCCACCGTGTTGGTGGTGGTACAATAGCTGAGCTTAACCTCACCGCGCACGGCCGTTTCACGCATGATGTGGTGGTGCACATCGATATGCTTGGAGCGCACCAACGTGATGGGGTTGTTGCCGAGGCTGAGCACGCCTTGTGAATCCAGCTGGATGTTGATGGCGCCGGGTGACAGGTCCAGGTCGCCCGCCAGCTTGCACAGCCACATAGTGCCTCGTGCACTGCTGCTGCGGCGGCCTGGTACTCGGCCTCGAGGCAGCCAAGGTGCGCTGCAACTGGCTGCTCCAGCTGACCGCTGCACTGCCGAGCAAGAATGTGTAGCCCGTGGTGGACCGGCGGGTGGCTGGGTCGCCGGCCCAGTCCGCATCACTGTACCCGCCGAAGTTGCTGGTGTCGCTGCAGCTGTCGCCACGGTACCGCAGCCCGAGTGTGTGGGTGCCGGATAGGTAGCGCATCATGCCCAGCACGAGCCCCATGTGGGCCTTGGTGGGGACGGGCATGTGTCACACGAGCATGCTCAGAGTGTGTGTAATGTCCGGGCGTGTGCTGGTGGCAAGGTATTTCAGCTCGCCCACCACCACACCGTAGCCGCTGCCATCAATCACTGTCGGCTGGGCGTCGCTGGCTGGCAGAGCACACATGCCCTGAGGCAGCAGGGTGGCGCGCGGCTTGGCATTCTCCAGGCTGTGGTGCTGCAGCAGCTGCTCCACATAGCGCTGCTGCGTGAGCACGATGCAGCGGTTGCGGCCATCCTGGACGATCTTCATGCCGAGGTAGTAGTGCGCCTCGCCAAGGTCACGTACTGTGAAGCAACCGGCGATGGCTGCCTTGGTGGCCGCGACCACTTGCAGGTTGTCCGCCGTCACCAGCATGTCGTTGGCAGTGTGCTCTGCACTGTTGCCTCCGCCGCCGCCACTGCCATCGGGCACGTTAGACTTCGCGCTGTCAGCGCTACCACCTGAGCAGCGGTGGACTTCCCGACTCTCTGCCGCCGCCGCTGCTGCTGCTGTCGGGGGGGGCCGTCACTGACCGGGGCCAGCGGGAGTGTGCAGGGACTGCCGTTGACTGCGGGTGTTGGGGTGGAGGGGTGGTGGTGGGGTCACTGGAGGTGGGGCGCCTGCTGGGGTCGGCAGCTTGGTGGGCGGTGTAGAGCCGCCGATGGGGTCGCTGCCGCCGGGGCAGGCGGGGCTAGTGCCGAAGGGGGTGCCCGCCCGTTGTGAACCGGGTTGTGGCGGTCGTCATTGAAGGTGACGTCGCTGCTCACGGTCACCTTGCCCTCAATGAGGATGCTGTGGGCGGCCGTGCCGTGCTCCGGTCGGCGGTAGGTTTCCGCCTTTGCATGAGGACCGAGTTTGTCCTGCTGGCTGGGTGGGATGCGGACGTAGGCCAGGCAGCTGAAGGTGTGGAGGTGGCTGATGTCGGGGGGGATGCCGTGATAAGCTGCCCACGGTGTGGCCTCCCGGCCCTGAGAGGGGGAAACATTGCGCAGGAGGTTGGTGTAGAGCACAGCCCTCGGCCTGTAGCTGCCCGGGAGTGCTGCATCGTGCAGCATCGTCCGCACACAGCCGAGGAGCATGTGGTTGAGTCACTCCACCGCTCCGTTCTGCTCCGGGGTGTATGATGCCGAGTGGGTGTGCACGGTGCCGTGCTGGCGCAGCCACTGCCGCAGTTGCTTGGCGATGTACTCACCGCGTTTGTCGCTGTGCAGCGTGTGCACCCCTGCATGGTTCAGGTGGCGGGCCTCCAGCTGCGTCACCATGTCCTGCAGCACTTCACCCACTTGGCTCTTGCTTGCCAGCGTGCGGACGGCGGACAGACTGGTGGCACCGTCCAGCAGCATCAGCAAGTAGCGTGCGCCCCCTCGGCCCATGGTCGGCATGGTCCCGCACAGGTCAGAGTGTACGACCTCCAGTGCGTGCTGCGGCCGGTTGCTGCGGCTGGGATGGGCGGTTGCGGTGGCCTTCATGGTGACACAGGCCTCGCAGACGGTCTCCGCCGCCTGGCATAGTGCTGCTGGAGTGACCTGTGGTCCCTGCACCAGCTACTTGCTGATCAGCTGCTCCAGCACGCGGTAACCGAGGTGACCGTACTGGCGGTGCAGGCGCTGTGCTGCCGCAAGTTCGGCGACTGAGCATTCGGCGGCCCCGGGGCTGCCCTTGCCTGGTTGCCCTTTGCCGTTGCTGTCACCGTCCGGCTGGCCTCCACCGGTGTGGCTGCCGGCGGTGCTGCCGCCACGGGCGCTGGGGACAGCGGCGGCACTTCCGCCAGCACTGCTAACTGCAGCCTGGCCCCCACCGGCTCTGTCGCCCACGGTGCCGAGGGCATTGACGGTGACGTCGGTCGGCGCCCGCAGGTCCACGTCCATGCGTAGTGCCCACGCTCATTCCATGCGGTGATAGACGGGCTGTTGCGAGGGAGGCCGATGCATGAGAACCAGCAGCCCGTCTTGTCGTGCTGAATGTGACTGAGCAGCTGCGTGTCACGAGAAGATTGACAGATGTTAGGATGAGGCCCGAGCTGGGGACGTGCAGCATGTTGTGCAGCCGGACATTGTGTCCATCACGTGTACGCAGGTGCAGCTGCGCTGTTCCCATGACATCGGCCAGCTGGTTGTTGCCCCACTCGATCAGCCGTGGCGCGCCGGCGGGGACGTGGTTGTGCAGCAGGGAGTGGTCACCCGTGAGGTGGTATGGTGAGCCTGAGTCGAGGATGACTCGTGAGCTGCTGCCACTGCCATCGATGACCAGCACTGTGGCACGGCTCTGGCGTGAGCTGCTTCCACTGCTGCCCGAGCCGCTGCCACTGCTGCCGCCTGCAGTGTCGCCGCCGTTGCGGTGGCTGTTGCCGCATCAAGCACGGCCGCGTTCACGTGTTCCGTCGGCCCCGCTGTTACCGCCATTGCCGCTGCCAGTGTCCCTGCCGCCGCCGTCACAGTGGCGGTTGCGGCTGCCTCAACTGATGTTGCCGGCGGCGTGCAGCTGCTCGAATGCGTTGCTGTGGTGAAGGCCGACGGACTCGTCCGCCTGCTTAAGGGGCACTCGCAGATGTAGTAACCAGGCTGTCCGCAGTAGCGGCAGGTGCCGCCGGCCCCCACGGCGCCTGCAGCACTGGCGGTGCTGCCGACTCCACTGGTGGCATGGCCAGGGCCGACAGCTCCCACCAGGCTGGTCTTGCTTGCTTGGGTCTTGAGGTTGTTGTCCTTCTCCCGCAGCATGAGCACGATCTGTGGGGTCGTTAAGTTGGGCTGATACATCGTGAACTCGATGGTGATGGCGTACTGCGGAGGCAGGCCATGCAGAATGGCGTGGCACACCGTGCTCTCGTCCCACTGGCCGCCGGCCACAATTATATCGCTACGGAGCTGCTCTGCCCGCTAAATGAAGTCAGCGGTTGTCTCCCCATCGCGCATGTTCAGCTGCATCTGCGGCTCAACCAGGCTCAGCCGGGCCTGGGATGCAGAACGGAACTGTTGCTGTAAGAGCTGCATGGCGGCGAGACCGGTTGGGCAATTCATGAGCAACTGCTTGATGGGCAGTTCACAGGACAGACGCAGGTAGCTGAGCGCCTGTGCGTCCTCCTCCAGGGCGTCTTGGGAGTTGCGGCTCGGAGGCGACGGGTTGTTGATGTAGCTCTTCAACTTGGACGTTGCGAGGAAATCGCCTAACTCGCCGAGCCAGTGGGAGTAGTTCGACCCATCCCAGAGGATGACGGTCTTACATCCCTTCCCCATGATGGTTGGCTAGCGAGCGTGACTGATGAAGACGCGTTCCCCGCCGCTTTTCTGGCAACTAGTTGGTGTAATGATGCATCCTTGGTCCGGCGTACGACGGCTCCTGATGCGATCTATGCCCTCTCAACCTCCCAGGCATGTCCCCACCTGCCTCACAGCCACCGACGCATCTCACGGCGGGGGTCTAATTGCGTGCGCGTATGGATGCTCCTATTCCTGCCGCCTTTCTAGCAACTAGTTAATGTTATGATGCATCGTTGGTCCGGCGTACGACGGCGCCTGGTGCGATTTATGCGTCCGGAAGCCCTTTCAGCCTCCAAGGCATGTCCCCACCTGCCTCACAGCCACTGACGCATCTCACGGCGGGGGTCTAATTGCGTGCGCGTATGGATGCTCCTATTCCTGCCGCCTTTCTTACAACTAGTTAATGTTATGATGCATCGTTGGTCCGGCGTACGACGGCGCCTGGTGCGATTTATGCGTCCGGAAGCCCTTTCAGCCTCCCAGGCATGTCCCACCTGCCTCACAGCCACCGACGCATCTCACGGCGGGGGTCTAATTGCGTGCGCGTATGGATGCTCCTTTCCCCGCCGCCTTTCTAGCAAGTAGTTAATGTTATGATGCATCGTTGGTCCGGCGTACGACGGCGCCTGGTGCGATTTATGCGTCCGGAAGCCCTTTCAGCCTCCC